GGCGTTTCCTATGCCTTTTCGGTTGCACGTCTCTGTACCCTAGTAGAGGCCGACAGTGAGGCTTCTGTGTACTCATCTAGAGTGACAACTACGGTTGGACCTGATTGTGTCGGTAAGGCGTCAGCACCGGTCCTGGTTCGAGCTGGTACCCGAACAACAGATAAGCTAGCCATAGAGTGGGAAGGTGGCCCTACGGGGTGTAACTCATCCTTCTCGTCGTGGTTGGTATATCTCCAAAGCCTCAATAGCCCATCATTTGGAGCAGTGCCTTGCGTGTTCATTGACAACGTGACGAGGTCATCAACAAGTTGTAGGGTGCAGGGCCTCATACCGAACACACCTTATAGGTTCCGTGTCAGAGAAATCTGCCAAAATGCATTGGAGTCCTCACCCTGGTCGGCACCGTCCGATTGGATCCGCACACTCGCCAGCTTTAAAACCAAGTGGAGGCTGACTCTTTATAAGCAAGGCGTCCAGCTTACCCCAATATCCAATGAGCTGTCTGCTGTTGAACTTTATAGCGATTACTACTGTCAGCATCTAGTAGGCTCCACTATGATTGAGCCATCGGATACAACGGACCTTGTGGAGTACTCTTTTGGGCAGCTCTACACAAAGGTCCAATGCATCAGGATCGCTCTGCGTGCTTGGACAGAGGCAGAAACCCGATATGACGAAGCAAGTGACGTGGATGCTTCTCTCGAATACTGGGACCCTAGTGCGGAGCATTCCGACCAACCCGGAGCCTGGGTGGTCGCGTATCTCTTTCGTGGTGTTCGTTCACATAGTATCTTCCGTAACGGAGTCCGCCAAAGTCCAACACCCCCCTGGACTGCACCACTCGGGTTACCCTACTTCAACAGCACTGTTACAGTAGAGTGCTGGACTGGATGGCCGTGCACGCTCGACATGTCTGAATCGAGTCCGACGATGTTACACGATGGTGATAAGCTTATAGCTGTGGAGGCGACAGAAGTATGCGAGACATTATATGGAGGTGGCTTATGGGGTGTTCCCGGTGGAGGCGTCAGTCGAGGGGCTCTCAATGGCATGTTCGCTTTCGGTGGTGTGGCGAGCGATCGCGCAACAGAGGCACGCCTGAGTCAGAGCCCTGGGGTGTATAAGCTCTGCTGGTGTGATGGCCGAGCATCTGATTGCTCCAGCATCAAGAATTTCCGTATAGAAGCTGCTCGATTTGAAATCCTAGGGCCGCAACGGACACATGAGTTCTATGCCACCATAGGTAGAGCTCTGTGTATTCCGAGTGTACAAGGCTACGGGCTTCAACACGGAGACTTTCTCGCTGTTATGTCAACGTGCGGTATGGTCCAGGGGATAAGAGGGATAGGCTCAATGAGGGCCCTATGGCAGGGGGTATCCGAGCCTACTGTGGACGGCAGGGCCTTCTGCTGGGACTCCTCCTCTGTCGTGGCTGCCGTGCCGGGAGTGTACAATCTGTGTTGGTGCAGTGCGCGTATGTCCTGCATGGAGAACGGTCCTCAACAATTCCGAGCGCTTGCTGGAAAACTCAGGGTCCACGGTCCTTACCCAGACCACGACTTTGGTGCGGTTATTCGGGGTCGGGCGCTGAGTCTGGGTGGACTTGTTGGTGTCGGCCTCTCACACGAAGATCGCCTTGCTATCATGTCTGAATGCGGGGCCGAGTCGACTGTCGGCGGTATACCAACAGGAGCCGATAGCAACTTCAGTGTTGTCGGAGCGAGCTCTATCTCTTCGGACGGAGGCACCTCTTACACGTGGGGTCTTGAGCCAGTCACTGCTACACCCGGTGCATACTCTGTCTGTTGGTGTGGAGGGACCAACACGACTGGCCTACGAAATTGCTCCTCAGCAAGGCATTTCACAGCTCTCGCGGGTACCATCGAGTTCGTCGGCCCGGATCCATCGCAAAATAGGAGGCTCTCCGTGGTCCGTGGGACTAAAGCTATCATCTCGAGGGTGTGGGGGAGAGGCCTCAATATCAGCGATATGTTTGCGGTGCGGAAATCTGGGGAATCCTGTTCCAGCCTACCATCGAGTGGGACTCCATGGGAGACTGGCATTGGCAGGAGAGGCTTATCCGAGCCCGTCAACTCCGACACTCTCGACAGCACCGAGGCCTTCGTTACCATTGTCTTCAGTGGACGGGTCTCTAGTCAGCCGGGCCCTTATCAGCTTTGCTGGTGCAGACCGGTCTCGGGCGTCTCTTGTGATAGAGATAGGCCCCAGAATTTCAGAGCTCTCGCTGGGACTATAACAGTCGTGGGAGCTGAGTCGGGTCAGATCTTCGTATGTGCTCGAGGAGAGACCCCCTGCACCATCGCTAACTTCAAAGGCACTCAATCGACTCCTTATGATCGTATGTTGCTTGTTCCATCTCGTGAGACTTGCGGTACAAGGCGGACCGTCTCATCGCAGTTAACTGGCAAGGCTACTGACAATGGGAAAGGCTTCACCTGGGCTACAGGCGCAGGTTTTATGGCCTCTGCTGGGTCATACCGACTCTGCTGGTGTGGCGGGGTTCATGGAGGAGACTCTCGTAGCTGTCGATCGTCAGAAGACTTCGCCGTCGACGTTGGTATGCTGCATGTGTTCGAGTCTTACGTGTGTTCTGTCGACAACG